AAAAAATTAAAAAAAGACCTGCACCAGATACAATACATGGAGTATTGTTGCAACAAAGCAGAGTTCAAAGGAGGTAGCAATGTGAAACCAAATCATCATGAGATTCATCCAAAACAATGCAACAAGTTAAGAAAGATCAAGACCGTGCATCGTAGTCATGAAACAAGAACATACTATAATTCAAAGATACAACTTCAGTTTGACAAGGAGAATGCAAGGTACAAAGTGACGTACTTTGAAGAAAACTACAATCATGATCTACATCATATAAAACACAAACACATGATGGTATCCAATCATAGGATTGATGAATCACATTTAATCATTGTGAATACAATTCAGGAAGCTGGACTACCAATTAGATTATCATATGATTTGATGAAAATAGCTGCTGGAGTAAAGGAAAATGTGGGATTTCTGAAGTTGGATATAAAGAATCACATGAAGGAAAGAACGAAAGGGATTTTTAAGGAGGGCGAAGCAAATGCATTACTGCAGTACTTTGGCCAATGATGAGTGGTTAATCTTTTTCTCTTTTATGAAATTAAAGTCGATTATGAAGATAAGATTACTAATATATTTTGGTCAGATTCTAAAATGAGGGAAGACTACACATTGTTTGGAGATTCTATTACGTTTGATACCATATACCAAACAAATAAGAACTACATACCACTAGGTAAACATACAATATTTTTTTCTGTGCATAATCAACATTTCATCTTCAATTAGTTAGCATTGTAAATACTATCTGTAAGCATCTTTATACATTATATACAATATCTCATATGTATATGATCCTAACAATATTGCACCATCAGGTGTTTTCGTGAGATTTAATAACCATCGCCAAACATTTATATTTGAGGTAGCGTTGTTGTATGGGAAACACAAGATTCATTCTAGTGGGTTTTCAATATCTTCTTGAAGTGCATGAGCGGAGAAGCATCGAAAACTATTTTTATGGATCAAGATTTGGCTATGGCTCCAGCGCTAAGAGAGACAATGTCAACAGCATACCATGCTCTGTGCACATGGCATATTGTACAAAATGCCAAACAAAAATCTCAGTGTTCTTTACATTACAAAGTATGTTGGAATTATTACAGCTAAACGATGAATTTGAGAATCAAATATACCAATTACAACTATTCTACTTGCATTGTACACATAGGTTTGCTGAGATGTTTCAACATATTCTTTACGGGGTACAGGATGAAAACCAATTAAGCCTTCAGTGGGAATATATATTGCATGAATGCTTCTCCAAAGGGCCTCATAAGTGACTACTAAACATTTATTCATTGAGACAACAATTGTCTTCGGCTTGGGCAAGACAACACTTTACTGCAGGGATGAGAACATTACAATTGAGTGAATCACTTAACTTCTCATTGAAAAGGTTTGAAAATACAACCTGCAAGCCCCTATGTTTTATGCAACTGGACATGCTTCTTTAATTGGCTCATCTTCTGAAATTAATAGATTAGTATGCTGAGTGTATTCTTCATATATTTTGTTGAATGAACGTGAATATGTTGGGCAGGTTTTTACAGTCAGACAGTAGTAATATTGTTCAATTTCTTCATCAATTTCAAAGAGTGGTGGAGAATTATAGAGAAAAGGAGGAACAACATGATTTTTTCGCACGGGATAGACGGTTGGCTGCAAATCATATGTTCAACCCATTGATGAAATATGCAGCTATGTTCTACACACCGAATGTCTTTCAATGGTTTCAAAAGCAACATTAAAGATCTTTTGAATTTATAACACAATGATTAGATGAAAAGAAAAAATATCTTGTATATAACATGGAGAAGACAAGCGATCAACATCTTGTGCGCATCAATATTCAAAAGTTTTCAATTGAGTGCACGTGCAATATATGGAAAAATACTGGAATGTTGTGTTGTCATTCACTATGCATGATGGATGTATTAGTAGCAACAGGGTGTGCATAGTTCAAAAATATCCCAAACAAATACATATTCAATTGATGGAGAAAATATACTAGGAGGATGTTACAATAGCACCACACAAGCTTAACATTTAGTAGGGAAAAAATTAATTTTTTCAGGAAGATACAAATCACTGTGCTAGTTGTTCATGCATTTTGCAAAGTTAATAGCATCTGAACTGAAGAATTACAATTTATTCTTACATAAATTCAATGAATTGCTTCACAATACACTTACATGCCCAAATCTGTATGGAGAAATGCCGACGGATGAAAATAACAGTTACGTTTCATATATATTTTATATTTATTGAAATGTATATATTATTAAACTAATCGATTCTTCATACTACATGAGAAGTATATAATACAACCACTACAGGCCATTTAATATTGAAGCCAAGAGACAATTCAAAAGGAAGAATAAAAATAAATGAGTCAATCAGCAACTCTAAGAGACAAAAGAAGCGTAAAAGAATGAATAAGAGAGATAACCAGCAGGATAAATGCAAGGAAATTGATTTTTTGTTAATTCACACACGATTTAGTTGCAAAGTGTGTTTAGGATGTTAATGAACTATCAAATTATATGAATATTATTCCAGAAAATGCAGCAAAATTAATCGTCAATTAAAAAAATTATTGCTGAAATCATGCAAGTTTTTTTTTTAAAAAAAAATCTATTTTCCACGAAAACAAGTTTTGTTTCCGCGAGCTCGCGGAAACAAACCTTGTTTCCACGGAGAGCAGCCAACTTTTACAAAAAACATATGTTTCTAGAGGAAACAAGGTCTGCGCGAGCTAGTGGAAACAAACCTTGTTTCCGCTAAAAATAGGCAACATTCATCCTAAACCTGCCAACATTTATATATACTAAGCCAAGCATTTTACTAGATACCGTTCAATATCTTCTGTTTTAACAAGCATCATGAGTATTAAGTAGTAATTGTTGCAAAATACAGTCAACAGATCAAACACCAATTAAAATTCAATCCATCGATCAACACCAACAATCTATTCAAATTAAATCGATCGATTAATACCAACAATCCTTTCAAATTCAATTCATCAAAGTCAAAAAACCAATCATCAAACTCAATTTTCGCCTTACCCACGACCTTGTCCTCGTCCTCGCCTTTGCCCTTGTCCACCATCATGTTTTCATGCGCCCATCTTAATACGACTCTTCCTCGGTTGAGCATCAGCGTTTTCATCTTCTTCACATGCAATCTTTGCACCAGCAGCAAGCATTGACCTCTCTTTCACATTCCCAATATTACGATTCTCCTCCTGCAGTGAGATTTGTACACAATACTTCTTTCACAATCTATCCAAAAATTCACGCCTGCCAATTTGCTCTCAAACCTGCCAAGTCAAGTCAAGGGACCAATTTTTCATGTAGAACATAGAGAAAATACCACAACTGTGGATATCCGGTTACATAACATGGGGTGGCAACTTGACTGCAAAATGGGAATTCCATCGTGGATCTAGAAATAATATCTTTGCAGCCCGTCAAAAATATCCAAAAAGTCGGTCAAAAACCACTGAGTCCGATTTCCATCCATCAATAGCATTTAAGCTATTGAAATAGAAAATCTTCTTGCGAAATGAACACGGAAAATAACACCCAATTTTTGAAACAACGAAATGGAAAAAAGAACTGCAACAAGATACACAAAACGAATTCAACATTTCATAATGCATCATATCATCATCTCAAATACGTAAACTCAACATTTCATATATGCATAAAAAAAAACACTCACGTTGTCAGCCTTTAAGTATCCAATCTGATCGTTACCAAGGTATTCCAAGTCCAATTTTCGTTCTCATTCCTTAACCAGTTCTTGGTCAGTTTTTTGGGGAAAACTATTTTCGATCTTAACTCGCACCATATACTACATACATAAAAAAACATAGCATCAGTTTATTTCTACCATAAGGATCCAATATTCCACGAGTTAGCATTTGATATATGATCAATAATCATTTTTAATACATATTTTAAGCACATGTAAATATATACTCACAACCACGTTGGATGAGACACAAAATTTGGACATTGGAACACATTTCTGTTTGTTTTCTCTGAAAGTTGATCTGTTTAAGAAGGTACCAAAGGCATCAACCACATTGCTTGCGACATCAAAAGAAGGACGTAAACTCTGGATATCATACTTGAATATGACATTGATTCCATCCAAAAAAAATAATGTCTCCCAAATCGGCCTTTGATGCTCATTATAAATAAAATGCCCATTTAACAGCCCTTTCTTCCTCCTCACTCAACTTGAACTCATCAAAAATACTGGAGGATCTTTCATATGGAGAACAGAAAACTTTCGAGGGCTTTTGATCCTGATGAGCCTTAATTTCTTTTGTTTGAAGCTTGTGAAGGGAAGACTCACTGCACTAAGGTAATTTTAGACTAGAGGACATTGGCGATTGAATATTTTCTCGTTCAGTTGATTCATATAATACAATTTCCTACCAAATAAATTCATCAGTCTTAAAAAACGTTTCATATACGCAATTATAAATAAAGCTAAAATACAATATATAATTAGTTATACCCTGCAAATACTCAGAGCAATCTTGGTTGGCGAACCTTCCTTCGAACGTCCGGCAGCATTCTCAAACTCTTGTGTTAACCCAAGTGAAAAAAGACTCATTGGGTCAACATCAACTTCTTCAACGCACTTTTGCTTCTTTCTGGGAGGTTTACAATCGACTCCATCAGTTTGCACTTCCGCCTTATTTTCAGTTTGCTCCAATAACAATGATCAAGAATATATTCTTAATTAATTCAAAATATAAATGATATTATAGTTATCTAACAATGATCAATTAAAAATACATGTTCAACATTTTCTTCTTCATGGACAAGTTCCTCCTCTAGAGGCAAATCACACTCAAAAAATTTCTATGATAATCATCAGGATTAAGGTTTATATACATTGCAATTGTATAAGAAAATCAATTGATCTATAACAGAAAAACATGAAAACTATAAACTCATAAAATTAAAATTCCCTTCTCTACATTCTTTTCATGAAGACCTTCTTCTTCATGGACAACTATCCCCCGCAGGGGCAAATCACACTCAATAAATTCCTATACAATAATCAGGATTAACGCTTATATACACCATTGTTCTGACTTTAATACCACTGAATGCTAACTCCAGCACCACCAAAATAATAGCTTCCAGCGTGTGCAGCTCGCCATCCATACCATCCTTCATATTTTCAAGAACCCAAAGGAATTGAAAGTATGCATTGCAATTGTACAAGAAAAGAAATGGATTTATAACAGAACAACATTAAAACTATAAACTCATACGATTGAAATCACTTTCTCAACATTTTTTCATGATGATCTTCTTCTTCTGCTATTTTGCTGTCATCAGAAATGTCATCCTCACGACCCTCAAACTTGTTGTATTCTTGTCTTAAATTGTAAAGAATTTTGCACGCCCCGGAAATCTCATTCTTGTACCATTGTAATGATTTTTCATGATCATCCTCCTATGTACCAGTCAAAGAATCAAGACAACACTCCAAAAGCACTACTTTAGCATATCAATAAGTATTACTTAACATATCACAATGGAACAATCAGCAGGCAAAAACAAACAATATGTATACCATCCTCCTATGTGTCAATCAATGCATCGAATCCAGCATTTCAGAAATATTAATTCAGCATATCAACAAGATTGCTTAGCATATCCTAAAGGAACAGTTAGCAGGCCGAACAACCCATCAACTTAGCGTATTCAAAGCTACATGTTTCAATTGGAATACAAAATCTAACCTTTGAGGATCGAACATTTTGAGGGTTGAAAAGCTTTGAAACATCTTCCAATATTAGTTTTCGTGTAAGATGGCATGAAAAAGAATGCCTCCGCATTTCTCACTATGGAACTTGTCAAAAAATATATGCTAAAAACAGAAAAATAGAATATTACACAAAGAGAACAATAAAACAAAAAAGTAAGCAAAAAGATTACAATATTTTAATTTATCATTAAACAATGCATATCTCCGGATGGCCTTCCTGTGACCAGTGTTTTCTTCTTGAATTTTTTGGACATCGCGTCCAAATCTTCCACAATCTTATCCCTCACAAAATCAACCTAATTGAACTCACTTTCCAACTCATTGGACTCAAGGAACTGGAATATACAATGATTAATCTTCGAATTGGATATGGGCGTAAGCAAGACACACATGCAGTACATGACATATATTCACCAAAAATTAACATCACTCCTTAGCCTGCCACTGTCCAGTAACTCTTTTAACAAAGGCTCAACAATATGTTTCTTATCCCCACCTATGAGTTTCATATCTAATCCAACTCTATCGGCAAAACTGTACCAAGAATCAGACTCATACAAAGAAATAGGTTCCTTATTTTTCCCATATGGCAGCCCATACACAACAACAATATCCCGATTCGTAAATACCATCTATTCCCATTAGATAGATGAAAGCATTCGCTATCAGGGTCCCAATAACTCAATAATTGCATAATTGGAGCCACATGAATAGGCATCAGTTTCACATGGAATAATCCTTTGAAAGGACTAGATTGAATATACCTCCTAATCGACTAACGATAAGGTTGCTGTAAAGATTCGTTGAGGTGAACGACTTTCCTAGGAACGCATGGTAGTTGAACGATAGGGTCCTTCGACATTGTTGATCACTTTCGACGAGTTGGGATTAATTGAACTAGGGCATCGCGAACTCAATATAGGGCTTCTCCAAATCTACAACAACAAGAACGGCGATTTAACTTGGGTAACATGGAAGGAAAGAAATATTTAATGAGCGTTTAACATACAGTACTTACCGAAACATAGGAGCACCGGCGATGAAGAAATTGACAACTATGAGCGCATCCGTGTCGTCGATTTGAAATGACGCAACGGGTTGAAGAAGTTGAAGACAAAGAATCGAAGTTAAATACGAATTGAAAACCGTCGAGGAACGAGTGAACAAGTTTGATGAAAAAGGCGATTTGAAGAAGAATACCGAGAGAGTGAATCTTACGAATCGGTGCGAGGAGAGGGAAGACGAATGCTTAAACCCTTAGTCTGAATTGGGAAATTACCATCCAACTCATGTTTAATCTCAACCATTAGATTATAATATACTATGATGAAGGACTTATGTTGTATCAACACCGGATCCGTCTTCATATTTAATTTAATATAAAAAAATTATTATATTTTTAAGTATTAAAAAAAATTAGTGATAATAAATAAATAAAATTTTGATTTATTTTAACTATAATTATATATGTATACATAAAAGAATAATTATATTTATATTTTTTTACTAATATTAAAAAATTAAAAAAAATAATTATTACATAGGCTTTTAAATAGGTTTGTAAGTCTGGTCTGACTCTAAAATAAATTTGGCATAGACCTTATAATATTTTTGTTTTAAACTAATAGGCTAGACTTGAGCCATAATTTTTCTAAATAGGCTTAGTCTGTTTAACCAAGTTTGGCTTGGTTATAATTACTTGTGTTTGACTCTTATTATACATTCTAAAACTTAGTTTAAATTTTTTAATATCCATTTTAGAAATCAGTTATATATTGTTATATAAAATAATATAGATATACTTTCGAATTTTAAATCTAAAAATTACCCTTTGCTCTTCCAAACTTTATCATTTTTTTTTTTCATTTTCTTGATGTGATCCCTGAGTAAAATTTCAGGATCTAACCTTTTATTTCTGAAAAACATAAAAGTAAAAAAATTAGTTCCAATTATTTCTCTTCAAATGTAGATAGACCATAAAAGCCACAGCAAGTGATGAACAATAAAAATATGATATTAAGGTAATATTTCAAATAAAAAATAAAAACTCGATTTAATAATTTTGATTGATAAAAAAAGTGAGAGAAAATACAATTGGAATCTTAAAATAAAAAATCTTTAGATTGTGTTTAAATGCCAACTCAATTATTTTATTTTATTTCCTAAAAGATATGAAAACCAAAAAAAAAATTATTTTTATATTTTATATTATATAAAAAAATAAATTTTATTCAAAAATATCATATTAAATACTCTGTCAGTCCCATAAGAAGAGTTCTATTTTCTATTTTTATCCCTCCTAAAATAATAATACTATTTTTTAATATAATAATTGTATTACCACGTAACATAGTAAATACTCTTACAACTTTCAATATTATACACAAATATCATTATTGTTTTATTAAACAATATTAATACGGGCATTTTTATCTTTTTTTATTATAATCCAATATAATACTAATATTAAAAAATATACGTGTAAAAAAATAAATATTATTATTTTATTGAGATGGAGATATTATTTATTTATATTAGATCTAAACTTTTTATTTTTCATGCGCTAAATTTAACTCTGGATTCTACACCTATAAAATTTGTTTATTTGTAGTTTCAAATACATTTTCATAATATACATACATATATGATATATATATATATATATATATACATCCTAAAATAATCGGACTTATTATTTATTTATATTTAAAATCTATTTACCCAGAAGCAGATTTAATTACACCAATAATTTGCCCATACTTAAATGACATGATAGGCATATTATTGTTGGTACATGAAGCAACTTTTGTGGGCCACTAAATTGGGTCCACATGGGCTACTATAATTGGGCCTTGTGGAAATTAGTTCAACCCGTCACATGCTAGTGGGCCCCATTCATTGACATTTTTGTCAAAATCCAACCCCTCGTAATTAATTACTCTCAGTCACGTGGGCTCCATGTGCCCTCTATTCCCATAGTGTGGGCCCCAATTTACTACCTTTAATCTCCTCCACAAACTTTCGTATTATCCTAATGTTTGCTAATAGTACTATAAATTACTTTCTCCTCCGATATAATTATATTATTTTATTTTAATATTTCAATATTAAAATAGGTGTATAATAAAAATTTACTAAACAGTAGATTAAAATTAGTTGAATAAATAAAAAAATAAAAAAGTAAAAGTTATTTAAATTGTGTCCGTTCCGCCACAGATGATTTTTTTTTTGTCCGTATCATAAAAGATGACCTATTCCTTATTTTTAGTAGATTTATTCATCTTAAACATACTTAATAAATATAAATTAATTTAATTATATTTCTAATTTCTTACCAGCAGGGTCATTCAAACCCCTTTATTTATCTCTCCGCAGTAAACAAATATTTATATATATATTTAAAACTTCTTAATTTTTTAAAAAATTAGTTTTAAGTTAATTATAAATAAATAAATATATTTACTATATAAGATTTTATCATCTACAAAATGATATTCGTATTATATACATATAATTATAAAAATATTTAAAATACCAAAAACACTATTCATATAAAAAAATAATAAAATAATAATATTATTAATAACTTACTAATTTATACTATCTAAAATATTGTGTCCCTAAACAAATGATTCATCTTGCTGAGACCGAGGAAATATTATATTAAATAAAGTTATTGCTACTATTTTTGTTTAACATTTCTATATTATATTCTTATCTCATATGAACGTGCTTCTTCGGTCTCATTTTAATTATTTCAATTTTTTTTGTTATCAACTCCACCTCAATTGATATGTTTTTTTTTTTAAATATACTAAATCTAAATATTAACAAATATAAATTAATTTAATTAATTTTATAACACATAATATCATTAATTATGTAGGAGTCACTCAAAATTTCTTTATTATTTTTTACAAAAGTATATCTATATTGCATCTTTTTATATTGAGATATATTATTTAAAAATATTTAAACATATACTTTAAATTTATTTTAATTATATATATATTAATTTTTATTATAAAAGTATAATAATATTACTCATATAAAAAAATTATTTTAATTTAATATTATTAACTAATTAAACTTCGTTATCTTAAATATTGTCTGACAGTCAAAATGAACCAAATCTAATGGTATGGAAAGGGAGCATTTATTTATTTTCTACATATAAATTTTATAATAATAATAATTTATAGTATATAAGTAGTACAATAGTGGGATCAATATATAATTTTAACGTTAATGATGTTTTGTAAGTGTAATCTTTGCTAGATTTTTAAAATTTTATTATTTCAATTTTGTATTTTTTAAAAATAAAATATATATATTTTTTTACAAAATATCTCATCAAATATTATAATAATATCAAATGCAAATTAATTTTTTCTCCATTTACTCAAAAGAAACCCACGTTATTATGCTTGTAATATTACTGTAATAAAAGGTAAGATACAATAATTGTTTTTTTTTTAAAAAAAAAAAATATATATATGTGATGATTACAACTACTAAAAATAAATGAATAAATTGATTTTGAATTAATTGTAAGATTTTACATTCGATTTTATTATTCTAATTTTTTCTCCCAAAATATCAAATCAAATATTTATTTTCATTTATTATATTATATTAAAATTTAATTCTACATTAAAAATATTATATCAATACATATTTATATGACATAAAAAAACTATTTTAATTTGAAATTTTATTATTAAAAAATAAAACTCAAAACAAACAAAATATCACAGATAAACACACATACTATTTTTAGTCTTATAATATTATAATATCTTTATATAAAATATTATATATATATATATATATATATATATCTAATATAATTAATTTATCAAAGAAAAAAAAAAAGTAAACAAACTTTTCTTAAAAAGTAAAACTTAAAAATTTTTAATCACAATTAAATTTAAACTAATTTAAATTATCTATTTAGTTTTTAAAATTTATTTTTAATTACATTTAAATATAACTGATAAGAAATAAACACGACCCAAAAATTTAAGAATTCGATTCGAGCATGATACGGAAATTCGAACTTAGATTATTTGATATAATATAAATGTGTATTGGAATGATTTTTTAAATTTAAAATTAATTTTTAATATAATTTAAAAATAAAAATATAAAGATTCAATTTTATATTTTTAGAAGGAAAAAATCAGTGAATAAAATATAATGGTGTATTTCTTTGGAGGTTAATATTTTTTGTTTGAATTTTGAATAGTAAGCTTTTTAAATTTAAATAATTTTTATGTTATATAAAAAGTTATTGATGTGATATTTTAAATATTAAATTAATTTTTAATATAATATAAAAATAATCGATTTGATATTTTTTGGAGAAAAAACTCATTCAATAAACTTAACAATGTAGTTTGTTGGAGTTCAAATTTTAAGTTTGAGTATTGATATTAAAAATTTTCAATTTGAATGATTATTAGATGGTACATGAATATATATTAATATAATATTTTGATATGAAAATAATTGTTACTGCAATATAACAAAGTAAAACTTTGATTCGATATTTTTAAGAGAAAAAATTATGTAAATAAATTCTAACGACGTGTTTGGTTGGGAGTTTAAAATCTTGTAATCTGAATAATTCTTTGATATTATATAAATATGTATTGATATAATATTTTTAACGTGAATATTTTAAAAAATATAATATACTCCCTCCGTCCCAATTCAATCGGATCTTTTGGGATTTTGTAATAAATTAAGAAATAATACTCTCTCCGTCCCCAAACGTGGTATAATATAATTTTAGGCACGGGAGATTGTTAAATAGAATTTTGAAAATTAAGTGATATGATGAGAGAAAAAAAAAAATTATTTGAGTAATGTGATGTGATAAAGTGTAAGGGTAATTATTAAATATATTTAATTATTTGTTATTTTAGAACTGTTGCGGGATGTTTGGAATAGATCAAAAAAATATATTGCATAGTATTTGAGACAGATAAAATAGTACTTTATTGATTAGTGAAAGTTGTAAAACTTTTTTATATCTTTGTAATTTGATTTTTATGTATAAAGTAATTGTATATTTGCAATTTAAGTAAAAATGAAAGGTATTTTTGTATTATTATATAATTATTTTTTCTAAAAATAGAAAAAAAATACTTTAAAATGAGACAAACAATGGTAAAAAGAGTATTTTGCATTGAGACATACGAAGTAA